TGATTTGGGGGTGAATTTGTCCCTGTTTGCTGCACAAACGGCGAGCACCCGATACCCCAGATCCATGTCGAAGCCCTGCTGACCCGCTACCCGACTCAACACCTGACAGAGACACAGACACACACTGAAATATCAGCACTCAGGCATGCATGTTTAGTCACAGTGAAATTGCACTGGGTGGTTGTGGTTTGGTGGGGTTTCTGGGAATGAAATCTCTCTCCTGATTTGCAAACCCTCATCAGGTCGGCTCATACGCTCAACGCCACACCCTGAGGCCCGACTCCCTCTGAAACACAGACGTGCAAGAAGCAATCCCTCATATCTGCGTCTTAATTATAGTTAAACACACCAGGCAGAGATATATGTGTGTCTGAAGCACATAATTAAACATCTGAGGGAGCCGTCGTTCCACATTCTCCTTAAATGCAGCTCTTTCTCTGCTGTGGAAACATGTCAGAGTTCACATCGGCACAATCAGACGTGACTGAGTTCATGCAGAGAGTCTGGGGCACATCCATAGAATATAACAGACTTAGATATTATAGAACAGAACAGATTAAAGCAACAGAAAAGTAGAATCAAAGAGATTACAAGAATACAACAGAGCCAAATTGAATTAAGAATAAATTGGAGCAGAATAGAATGAAAAGAAATGAAAGAAAGCTAAATAGAAGAGTAGAATAGATTATAACAGAAGAGAGCAGAATAGAAGTAAATAAAATGAAATTGGAGCAGAATAGAACAGAATTAAATCAAATGAAAGAAAGCTAAATATAAAAGAAGAGTAGAATAGATTATAACAGAAGAGAGCAGAATAGAAGTAAATAAAATGAATAGAATAAATTGGAGCAGAATAGAACAGAATTAAATCAAATGAAAGAAAGATAAATAGAAGAGTAGAATAGATTATAACAGAAGCGAGCAGAATAGAAGTAATTAAAATTAATATAATAAATTGGAGCAGAATAGAACAGAATGAAAAGAAATGAAAGAAAGCTAAATAGAAAAGAAGAGTAGAATGGATTATAACAGAATAGAGCAGAATATAAGTAAATAAAATGAATAGAATAAATTGGAGCAGAATAGAAAAGAAATATAGAATAGAATAAGCACAACGGAATTGAAGAGTAGAATAGAATAGTTTACAAGAGATTAGAGCGGAATGGAATAAAATGCAGAAGAATAGAGGAAAATTAAATGGGATGGATTAAAGAACAGAACAGAAGAGAGCAGAATAGAATAAAATAAAATTAAAATTAATAGAATAAACTGGTGCAGAATAGAACAGAATTAAATAAAATAGAAAAAGCACAAGAGAATAGAAGAGTAGAATAGAAAAGTTTACAATAGAGCTGAGCAGAATAGAATAAAATTAATAGAATAAGATGGTGCAGAATAGAACAGAAAAATAGAATAGAATAAGCACAACGGAATTGAAGAGTAGAATAGAATAGTTTACAAGAGATTAGAGCAGAATGGAATAAAATGCAGAAGAATAAAGTAAAATTAAATGGGATGGAAAGAACAGAACAGAAGAGAGCAGAATAGAATAAAATAAAACTAATAGAATAAACTGGTGCAGAATAGAACAGAATAAGCACAACAAAATAGAAGAGTAGAACAAAATAGTCTACAATAGAACATAACAGAATAGAATAGAATTAATACAATAAACTGGTGCGGAATAGAACAGAAAAAAATAGAATACAGCAGAACAATAATTACATTGGAATATACTCTAATATAGAATGTAAAACAATATAGACTATCATAATATAATATATATAATATTTAATGTGGCGTGAGGCCAGATGGAAAGGTAATTGTCAGAGCCGATTGTTCTTATTACTAACGAGCAGATGAATGCTGATTGGTCAATCGACTGAGAGTGAAATGACCTCACCGTTAGGCATCCCATCAGGCTTTGCTCAAAGGGCCTCTGAAACGCCCGAGGATCTCCACACCAGTCCAACAGCTCCGTCGCCGCCGTCTGGAAGTTCACTGGATTTTGCAGGTGCTGATAACACACAATCATAAGAACACAAGTTCATATGACAAACCACTTCATATATTATGATTATATTTAGCTATTACTCTGTATATGTGAGATGTTAATGTGTGAAATATTCATTACTAATCTACAGAAAGTTCTGTGTATTGTTCCTGAGTGTATATGCCCATAATAAAGTCTAATAATTGTGTGAAATCTGCTGTCCAGGTGTCCTGTAGGGGGCGGCACAGCGTCGAGAATGACTTCAGAACACTGACATAAGATGAGATAATATTTTTATAGAGCACCTATTCTGCTTTCTTCCATGTTCATCTTTCTGTAGTGTGTAATGTTGATGTTTGAGCATGAAAAATGTTTCAAAGTCCCTCCAGCGGGAGTTCTTCTCTATATCAGTGTCAGTGTTTCTGAACTCCTGAAACGCCTCCATTGTAGTTTTGAGTCACGAACACGTCACAATATTCCTCATTATAATAATTCATACGCAGAATAAAGGGGCGGGGCCTGGTTGAGTTAGTCAGTAGTGTGTTAAACTGGTGGTTATGGGAAGGGGCGGGACATTTCCCAAACACCAATCAGAGCACAGTGTGCTTTTCAGAAGGAGGGGCTTCATAGAGACAGGAAGTAAACAGAGCGTTACTGACAGACTGGGAAGAGAGGAGCCGCAACAATGGAGAATATGAGGAGAATAATCAACATTCAAGCAGGAAAACCTGTTCTAGTAGAGCCTGAAACATCATCAAGACTTTGTAAAAGGTCTCGCATCTGTTTTCTCACACCTGTTTGATGCAGAGGAGCCGGTCGTTGGTTTGCTGGATGTGTCTGTCCATGGGCGGGAGAGAATTCATCCTTCAGGACCGTCTCTCTGTCCCTATCGCACAGCCATCAACACTCAGTCCCTGGAAAACACACACGATTTAGACACAGTGCCAGATAAAATGATCAGACGCAAACAAGTAAACACCCAGTTCTATATTGCTGATATAATTTCTCATCCGTCATACTTTAGTTTGCATCTTTTCTTCATTATTTACAGCATGAAGAAGTGCATAAACTCATGGCTATTTATTCAACATTGAGATAAACGAGTGTGTGTGTGTGTGTGTGTGTGTGCAGGAAGCATTTCTGTGTCTGCTGTAAAATAATGAAATCAGGTCAGAGTTTGAGAGCCATTTCCATAATCACATGATATCCCGTTTACATCATCTGTCTCGGATGGTGAGTGATATTTATAGTGTGAATGAACAGTACGAGCGGGATCTCTCGTGTACTCGCAACTATCAGCTGTGTGTCAGACTGGGCTGTAGCGACTGGAACACTTGCGTAACTAGCAGATGATGTGCTGAGACAGGCCACACACACACACACACACACGCACGCGATGGGAAACATGTCGAGTGTTTCCTGTAGTTTTGTGTGAACGTCAGTAACTGGTTTGTGTTGCATCACTGAGTGAAAGACACGAGACACGTGCGAAAGCTCCACCGGCTCCTCAGTGACACACATGCTGGATTAAGAGGATTACAATCATCACTGTAATACAGACGGCAAGAATGAGGAAGAAAATAAACATGATAAAAATATGCTAAAAGACAACAAATGGAGTAAAAATGGGGGGAAATAAACTTGTGTAGAAGCATTTCTGCAGAACTTAGAACATAAATCAGCATGAAATTAATACAAAACAGTGTTACAAAGTTAATACAAAACAATGACCATATTCATACCATCATACTGAACAATGACCATATTCATACCATCATACTGAACAATGACCATATTCATATACCATCATATAGACGAACGATTTCCATATTCATACACCATCATACAAAACAATAACCATTATCATATACCATCATACTGAACAATAACCATATTCATATACCATCATACTGAACAATTACCATATTCATAAAACCATCATACAAAACAATAACCATTATCATATACCATCATACTGAACAATAACCATATTCATATACCATCATACTGAACGATTGCCATATTCATAAAACCATCATACAAAACAATAACCATTATCATATACCATCATACTGAACAATTAGGGATGGCCCGATACCATTTTTTTTCAAACCGATACGAGTACGAGTATTTACATTTGTGTACTTGCCGATACCGAGTACCGATACCGATATTACTACCGCAAAAGTAATAGGCTCCCAGAAAAGAAGACGACTATTTTAGAACACAGGTTAGAAGACTGTTTTTATTTTCTTCTCTGCTTGTTTTAACAAGTCTAAAAATAAATAAAAATTAGTAAAATAATAAATGTATTAACACACAAACCACTGTTAATTTAACATAAAAGCAAGCAGGCTACTGCGTGCATGGTTTGGCATGACTGAATGCGCGCAAAGTGCGCTCCCTTAATAAATCCTAAAAGCTGACAGTTCATCGCGATCTCACACATCTCTGTTATTATCAATGAAGCTGACTGCACAATCAATCTTTCATAATATCCACACTTTGTTTGTTATAATTAGAGGATTTGCCAGCATACAGAATTCAGCACTGAACAAAAAAGTCCGTTTTGAGCGGTGAGGGGAGTCTATTCATAAATGCTTCTGATTGGCCATTGCGTTCCAGAAATCAACACATATGTCTGTGATTGGCTACATCGCTCAACGCTGTAACCATGTTATGAATAGAAACTCTGTCCTGTAAATCGTTTCTATTTTGTTGTAGTTGTTCTTGTTGCTTTTCTGCAAGAGATGAATACAAATCTTTTAGTTTTTATGTTTTATTCATAGATATTTCTAGTTTGCGGGAGTCCCGCGAATCGTTTTATTCTCCCGTAACCCGCACACACAGAGTGAGTGCATTACCGCCCGCGCGCGCGCTCGGCCATCAGATCTATGATGCGTCTTCAGATGTTTAATTAGATTGCTGGTGTTAAACGATGTACTTTCTTTCCCTCCTCTCGACACCTTAGCTGAACATAACTCACAGTCTGCCTTGCTGTTGTCATCATCCCTTATCTTGAAATGAGCCCAAACCGCCGACATTATACTTTCCTATGTCTCAGTTCACCTCGACAAAGCTCTCGCGGCGGCCAGTTTCGTTTTGCAAAATGTACGTGGTATCGGTGCGTGGTATCGGCGAATTTTTATGAGTACGAGTACGAGTATATTAGGACAGTATCGGCCCGATCCCCGATGCCAGTATCGGTATCGGGCCATCCCTATGAACAATAACCATATTCATATACCATCATACTGAAATTACCATATTCATATACCATCATACAAAACGATTGCCATATTCATAAAACCATCATACTGAACGATTGCCATATTCATAAAACCATCAACAATAACCATATTCATATACCATCATACTGAACAATTACCATATTCATAAAACCATCATACAAAACAATAACCATTATCATATACCATCATACTGAACAATAACCATATTCATATACCATCATACTGAACGATTACCATATTCATAAAACCATCATACAAAACAATAACCATATTCATATACCATCATACTGAACAATAACCATATTCATATACCATCATACTGAACAATTACCATATTAATATACCATCATATAGAACGATTACCATATTAATATACCATTACCATCATACAAAACAATAACCATATTCATATACCATCATACTGAACAATTACCATATTAATTTACAATCATACTGAAAAATTACCATATTCATATACCATCATATAGAACGATTACCATATTAATATACCATTACCATCATACTGAACAATGACCATATTCATATACCATCATATAGACGAACGATTGCCACATTTATAAACCATCATATAGACGAACGATTGCCATATTCATAATACCATCATACAGAACGATTGCCATATTAATTTACAATCATACTGAAAAATTACCATATTCATATACCATCATACAAAACGATTGCCATATTCATACCATCATACAAAATGATTGCCATATTCATAAAACCATCATACTGAACGATTGCCATATTCATAAAACCATCATACAAAACAATAACCATATTCATATACCATCATACTGAACAATAACCATATTCATATACCATCATACTAAACAATTACCATATTCATAAAACCATCATACAAAACAATAACCATATTCATATACCATCATACTGAACAATTACCATATTCATAAAACCATCATACAAAACAATAACCATATTCATATACCATCATACTGAACAATAACCATATTCATATACCATCATACTGAACAATTACCATATTCATATACCATCATACTGAACGATTACCACATTAATATACCATTACCATCATACTGAACAATTACCATATTCATATACCATCATACTGAACAATTACCATATTCATATACCATCATACTGAACAATTACCATATTCATATACCATCATACTGAACGATTACCACATTAATATACCATTACCATCATACTGAACAATTACCATATTCATATACCATCATACTGAATGATTGTCAATTATCAGACAGTTTGTTTGAGCATCAATAACCAACAATAAAGAAACACAACTAGAAGAAAGCTGAAATACAGTTAGAAGGTTTTTCAATCCACAAATCACCAACATTTACCACTGATTTACCGCAGTAACGCTAACTGTAACATTAAGGCAGAAATGTGGGATATTCATACGTAATTTTACTACATTTAATATAAGTCTACAGTAGTTTTCTTTTACCATGGTAATGAGTTGCCATCCGTTTTACCAAATTGTAATTTACAGTGCTCTCTATAGTCCTAACTCAGTCAGAATATTTAAAATGTACCCTATAAAAATGACGTTTTTTATTTAGATGTTACATTAATGAAAATAAATGTACATCCACATCCCATCAAGCTCAAGCTACTGTCAAATGTGCATTTCTATGAGATAAAACATGTAATAATCTTATCAATATTACATGTGCGATGCTACCAAATCGGTTTCTGCAGGGCTTGTTAGTCTGGAGACCTGAAATATTCATTCACGAGTGCGTTTGAAAGCCGAATGGCCGGAGCGTTTCCCTCTGTGTGCCTCTGATTCACATCAGCCTCAGGAAATGAGGCCTTTCCTGTCAGAGGAAGAGAGTTTTACAGGCTCAGACAGGAACGGGTGTAGAGAGGAACATGGACGTCTGAAGCGTGGAACGCGGCGTCTTCGGCTACTGGAAGCACATCACGTTCTGCCCTGATTAATGATCATCTACTAATGCTTTTAGAAATACGTTTTGTTGAAAGTTCTGTAACTTTTGTGGAAATTTAACAGAGGAAAGCATGTTTTCAGATTTCACTCTGTGTGCATGTCATTTTTTATTCTTAGTATTATTAAATGCTTGAATAGAAGGGGAAAAAAAACAAGAATTTTTTTTTTTGTCATAATATAATACACAACAATACTCCAAAGTCCTTCAGTCTTTCTCATTTTTTACTCTCTCTCGTTCTCGTGCAGTCATCGTGATGATGTCATCGCTCGTGTTTTCATATGTAAATGATGCGGAGGACGGACACAGAACAGATTTGCGGCGGAATAAAAACTCTCCGCACTCTCACTCTAGTGTTTTACATCTATAATCTGACATATTTCAGACGGAGTGAAACTGGATATGCAACAAATGTAGGTCAGGACTTTATTTTTTTCTTCATTTTCATGGACTTTTTTTTTATGTCTGGTGGTTCAACATGAGAGAGATTGAAAAAGTAAAGTTTGATTTTTTTTAGCATGCATTATAAGACCACAGGAATGTGTATTAACAAAGCAAGTAGTCAATTTTAATTTCATGCTGACGTTTATATAAACAACTTCATAACATGCACAGACACAAGAGAGGGATAGAGGCGGGCGTCACTGCTGCTCACAATAGACACTGTTCACACGCTCAACAATAACACACTGTTCTGACTGCGTAGTTTACACACACACAGTCTATTATACGACCTAATATACATCAGCAGCTGCAGACACACACACACACACACACACAAGTCCATGAGTCATGTGTCAACATATGCAAACAAACGCACAGTCATGTGTTGCAATACATGCACGCACTCCAGTTTCATTTGATGTTTTTACATTTTCCACCATAGAAGATTTTTACATTATGGTTTATATTTTTGGAAACACTTTATAATATTTAGTAATTATGCCTTGTAATGCACATTATAATGCATTTTATGTTCTTATGAATAATTGTAACCACAGGTATAATACACATTTAGAAAGTGTAATGCATTAAAAAACATGACAAACAACCAATTTGAGACGGAATCTGCAAATATTATAATGCATTTTAACTTTGGTTAGTTACAATTATTTATGAAAAGATATAATGCATAATAACATACATTATGAATATACCTTTATAATGCATTATACATAATAGGCTTCATCATGTAAAGTGTTACTGAAAATGTTAGTGAGCTCAAAACTCGAGGTGTTTGCTAGTTACAGTCTCAAATCAAAAGAGTCTCCAACATTTTCCGGTTCGGGTAAACAACCAGACTTTGCTAACGAATTTTTATCTTTTAATTTGAATATTTATATAATTAACTCTTATCTATTTTTAATGTTTTATTTTTATTCTGGAAATGCAGCATACACTGTGCCCAAGACAAATTTCTTTAAGGGGGACAATAAAGTATATTATATATATTAGAATTGGTCCGTTTATGCAGAAACGCGTATTCCACGATGGCACATTCATGAAATATTTGGAACAAACATGTTCTGACTTCTGTTCGGCTAAAACAAAGGTGTGTTTACAGCCACAACGCTCCTCTGATGAGTGTTTTCTCATCCAGACTTTGGAGGATTAAAAGCCTTCTCAGAGAAAACGACCCACACACACATTTCGCTTCATTGCTTTTGACCCGCGATGGCTGAAAGCTTACCTGCGTATGTTCTGCGTCCACAGGACCGAACAGGAATATGCTACGAATCCATCAGTTGCTCATCTGACCTGAAAGAAAACACCAGGCAGTGATTAGCCACAGCCGCAGTGCAACAAATGTACATTCTCAAAATGTTCCTTAAAGAAATAGTTTCAGAGTAATAAAGATTGAACACCATATTAAACATTTACCATATTCATACAACACCATCATATTGAATGATTACCATATTCATAAACTATCATAATGAACATTTACCATATTCATACACCTTATTAAACGTTTACCATATTCATATACTGTCATACAGAACGATTACCATATTCATATACTATCATAATGAACGTTTACCATATTCATACACCTTATTAAACGTTTACCATATAATGTCATACAGAACGATTACCATATTCATATACTATCATAATGAATGATTACCATATTCATATACTATCATAATGAATGATTACCATATTCATATACTATCATAAATAATGAATGATTACCATATTCATACTATCATAATTAACGTTTACCATATTCATACACCTTATTAAACGTTTACCATATTCATACACCATCATATTGAACGTTTACCATATTCATACACAATCATAATGAATGATTACCATATTCATAAACTATCATAATGAACGTTTACCATATTCATACACCTTATTAAACGTTTACCATATTCATATACTGTCATACAGAACGATTACCATATTCATATACTATCATAATGAACGTTTACCATATTCATACACCTTATTAAACGTTTACCATATAATGTCATACAGAACGATTACCATATTCATATACTATCATAATGAATGATTACCATATTCATATACTATCATAATGAATGATTACCATATTCATATACTATCATAAATAATGAATGATTACCATATTCATACTATCATAATTAACGTTTACCATATTCATACACCTTATTAAACGTTTACCATATTCATACACCATCATATTGAACGTTTACCATATTCATACACAATCATAATGAATGATTACCATATTCATAAACTATCATAATGAACGTTTACCATATTCATACACCTTATTA